GCTCTCTGATGCATAGCAAGTGATTGCAAAGACCATGGCATGTATCCGGTGCACCTTAGTCTCCAGACTGACATCATTGCTCTTCAGTACTTTAGCGAGGTCTCTAACCACAGACTTTCCCATCACAATACGTCTTTTAATTTTTTGGCTGCTGGTGCCAAGAGTGTGGAATAATATACTTAGCAGCAAATAAAAAGCTCCTTGGTCAGATATTCTGTCCCCCATGCCCATGCACCTCTTACTACCAATTATCTGGGCCTGATATTTGTTGTTGACTTAAAGACTTTATTCATAGTTGTGGGGTTTATTAGGGAAATAAATTGGACAGTAGGTAAGGGAAAGAATAACACCCAACGCAAGTCTAGGTTTAGCCCAGAAGTCCTAAGCCAGATAAACAGCAAAACATAATTCCTCAATTAGTGAAAATCTTGGTTTCACTTCAGCAACACAAATTCAAGAAGCCTCTGGTTTCTTCAATCCTTCACCAAGGTTTACCTTAGAGCCATTATAAGTCAGATCTCCCTTAAATCATTCAACAAGCAAAACCTTTTAACTGTGGCTAGCACAAATGCCTGAGTCTCTTCACAACCTCTCTGCCACCATCTTCACCAGGGTATATCACAGTGTAGAAAGCTCTCTCTCTCTCTCTCTCTCGTACAGCTGTTGATGATTGCAAGACCATGTGTCTGCAGTTAAGGTAGCTGGAAAACGTGTCCCACTTTACCTCACCCCCAGAAGAAGCTAACATAATGGCTAGAAAAGCCAATTTTTTGGTTTTCTGACATTATACTAGTAGAGACAAGGATAATCAAAGCCCCTACTTAGATCTTTCCACTGGAATGGGAGATGGTGACTTTCTGGAGGATATGTAAAATTAAATGTTCCTGTTCCAATGTGTTAGGAAACTGCCAGTTGGCTCCCAAAATAATTACGTATTGACATTACTAAGGTATTTAAGGCCTGCCCCAGGAGCTGACCAGGAGGCAATATACAGAAAACTCCCCTACTGATTTATTTCCTACCCACTTGATGGTCTGGGAGCTGTAATAGAGATTGACCATTTATTCCAGGAAGAGTATTGTCGACCTTGTTCCAACTACCACAAAACCAGGATACTTCATATCATTGATGGAATCAAGAAGAGCTGACAGCAGGGTGGTTTTATTCCAAGGCTATATTTGTTCTAGGTGCTGCTGCCTTCAAAGTAGAATTAGAAATAACTGCCTTTGATGAAACTACTGCAAGAGCCCTGAATCAAGCAAAGCTTTAACCTTAGGCCTGTTAACTGCTGTGCTATAATTCACACTGTCTGCTGCATGTTTATTTTTTTTTCACCCTGGCAGCAAAAGTGAAGTTTTTATTTTTATTTTTTTTAAGTTTTATTCATTTTAATAAACATTTATAGAGATTTTGGATTTCATTTCATTCATTGTTGCACTTATCTCCCTGCCAAGCCCTCCCCCACCCTGGTTCACTCCTTTCTTTGAAAAGTAAAAGAAAAATTCTTTCATTGGTATACAATCCCCCCACATCCCACCACCCTGAATACAGTCCACTATGCAACCTTAATTCTGGACTCTTGTGATAACCATAATACCCTATTATATATCGCCTTTAAATTGTTCTCTCCTTCATCTGTTTCAATGCAGGATACATAATTTATCCAGTTTTTCTCAGTCTTACCCCAAACCTGATGTCAGTCCCATTCTACAACAGTGGCACTATGCAGTATTTGTCCTTTTGTGACCGAGACATTTCACTCAGCATAATGTCCTCCAGGGTCACTCATTTTGAATAATATTGCATGAGTTCCTTGTTTTTCAATGCAGCATAGTATTCCATTGTGGGAATATACCACAGCTTCTCTATCCATTTGTTTGTTGACGGGCAGTTGGGTTGTTTCCAACTCCTTGCTATTGTGAACAAAGTCACGATAAACATGGGTGTGCATTGCATGTTCATTTCTGATGAGCAAGATAATGTAACCCAAGCTTTGTATGAAGTTAATGGAGAAGTAGAAAATATTCAAGCTCTTTTTCATGAACTTTTATAGGAATGGTGGCCTAATCTCAAGCTTAGTTGGTGGTG